AACTGATCTCGTGTAATAACAGAATTGTTGCGATTGTGGATCCCACCTTGCTGCACACATAAACTCACAGTCACACGAATAGGCGCAAAGGCCTCACCGTGCAAAACAACACGAAAAAGAGGACCCGACCGTCATCGAGTGAAAAAGCTGCTCATTCAATGATTTGTATCCTTTGAGCTCTGCAAAGCATTGTTGTGATTGGTAAGAATTATGAACATCAGATTTCTTTTTCATGACTGCGCAGTTGTATTGCATTGTAAAGGCTACTGCGCTGTAGCTCGTCCAGTCTTGTACCACTTCTGGAAGCATTTACCTTCTCACATCCCCAAAGTGGTCTTCCTCCGTCCCAAATGACACAAGCTAGCATCTCTTCTATTGAACGTTGTGCTCTTCATTGAATAAGCGTAAATGTAAAAGGATCAAACATACTCGCAGAGAGCAATTCCTTCTGGAGCGATGCAGATGCCATTTCGCAGACTCGTGCAACGATTCTCTTTTGTCACGCCTCTCTGTTTCTCGACTGCCGTTGGATCGCATGAGCTATCCCGATGGTACTGAACGTAACATGAAGAGATACAATCGGAAAGTGTGGCCTCATGTAATGCAGTTTTTCTGAAGATGAAAAAAAAAACTAATCAAAGCACAAAAGTTAGATTTTTTCTCAAAAGGTCATGGAAGACAATTCGCTAAAATAATTTTGTGGATTCTATGTTCTGGATTTAAACCTTCTGTATTTCAAAAATAGTGTCGCCTTAACCCATTTCGCCATCCGAGCAACGGATGTGTGGTTAATAGAAGAGTCACATTCAAACGCTAAATATCGGTGACGGTACCACTAAAGAGCTCCATAACGTGGCTGTTCATAAATGCAGTCTTGCATCCCCTTTCCCAATGCTCATAGCTTTGTTCTCATGACCATTATATACTTCTAGCACTCCCATGCATTTCATGTGTTTATTGTGGGCCAACTAAACAGCAAGGGCTCTAGTACTGCAACTTTTCTTTCCGGATGAGAATGAGACGGAGACCGATAATTTTTGAGTAATCTACCAAATCTCTCATTTGCTATAATTTCGCATTCAAATCCCGAACAATGTGAAGTGAGCTTGGAGCATCACTGGTAGGGTACTATGAACAGCTTTCTTACTAAACCTCTTGTAAAGATTGCAGGAAAGGCGGAGTCTACATTGGAAAGCAGACCACTAGAAATTGAAGTAGAGGTGGTCAGTGATGCAGAGATTAAGAAGAACGAAAAAGACAAGATAGAATAATAAAATAAAAAGAAACAGAAACAATAAAAGAAAAAGTTTAGAAAACGCCGAGTAATGAGACCTGTTTTGCCTTTTTAATAGCGCGTTGGGCTAAAGCAGTTCACCGGCAACACTCCTACCCGCACTTCTTACATACAGGTCAATTGTGCCATCGTTTGTACTATAATACATGGGCACTATATTTCACCATAACTCAATCTTCCATGGTACATTTACTATGGGCTTATCAGCGCTCACACGTCCATAGTAGTAGTCGGTCACTCGATCGTGAAATTAAATGAAAAGACGCAGACCTCACAGAAACGTCCACTTTCCGAACCTTTGCACTCGCAGAACGGCACCAAATACAGCTTGCCAGACGCAACTAAACTGTTTTGTGATTACAGAAGAAGGTGTT